TTTTTTTTTGTTGTTTTTTGTGTGTGTGTGTGTGTGTGTGTGTGTGTGTGGTGTGTGTGTGTGTGTGTGTGTGTGTGTGTGTGTGGTGTGTGTGTGTGTGTGTGTGTGTGTTTTTCATGTTCATGTTTAATGATGCTGCACCTTTTTTTTATTATTTTCTTATCCAGACGCAAAAGGAAGACCCCGAGAAAATTGTGCATGATTTGGCGAAGTCATCATGTGTTGTTCAAATAGTACATAGATGCGCAACATGTATTGAAGGTTTTTGCAGATGTTTTTCCAGATTACTTCAGGTGTGTCAAAAATGTACTATTTAATTTTAATTGTTACTGTAGACAACGATTTAAGTGTTTGTGTCATTCGTCCTTAAAAATAGTTTAAAGGTTCTTATTCTGCCGCTTTTAAACAAACTAATCATTTCGGTGAGGAACGAAAGGTTCATGTTTAAGTTGATCTACTTAATTTTAAAGTAATCGCGTTAAAGCAATTTTACGTTTTTGAAATTTCATTTTGTAAATAAATGTCAAATGAACAACAGTGACATGTTTAGTAAATAAATTAGGTACCAAAATTGAGCCATTTTTGAAGTTAAAGGGAGACCCCTGAGGATTTTTTTTCGATTTGTTTACCATTTGATGGTCTTGACCTATGATTTGTACGTAGAATTTCAGATTATTCGCTCAATCCTTTTTTTATAATTAATCATTTTACTTCTTGAAAACGACTAAACGCTTAAAGCTCAAATAGGTATAGCACAGAAACATTTGAGTACATATATCTGTCTTTAATATCTTGTGCATACCTTGCCATTTTAAGTGCCAATTTTTTTCTTTCATTTTTGGACCAGAGTTGAATTCCATTAACACATTGTATATTTAAAAAATGATAATTTTGTTTCATCACTTAAGTAATGTCGAAGGCCATAATGTCCATTTGTAATTATATTATAAATACAATTTAGCTGACATGCAATTGAATTCGTTCGTACATATAATTTTACAGACAAGTTTTGGCTGGCTGAAAAGAGGAAGAAATACGAAAGGAATAAAAGGCACTTAGCTCTGTGGATAGTTTTATGATAGACACGGACACGATACGCTCTCAAGCAAAAACATTTCTATACATTTTTGTGCAACAAACTTGCCTTTCAATCTGCAAACTGGCATTCATACTGGATATAACATCTGAGGAAATGTCTTCTACATGTAGATGACCTCACCTACATACATGTATTTATCACACACCCGTGCCGATTTTGTGACTCCGTAAATATGGTATTGCACGGCCGTGCATATATTTTGACGTGACGTCATTAGAGTTATACAAACATAGCGTAAAGACGCGCTAAACGTAAGCGTTATACTATAGGTGCGTCATTGAAAAATTACTCTTATTTCATTTAAAACGGTGTTTAATTTAGGTATTTGATAAATAGAATATTAAATTCGTGTAAGTTCATTTATTACTGAATTTATTGAACTCGTTGAATAAAATAATATTATGCTCGCCAAAGGCTCGCATAATATAATTTTATTCAACTCGTGCAATAAATTCAGTATTGAACTTACACTCATTTAATATCCTCTATATATGGAATCTTCTGGAAACAAATTTTAAGTGATACAGATAAGTCATAGCTTTTTGTCCACCAAGCCAGATATGACAAGGATTGTAGCAAAAAAACTGTTATAATATTTTAAAGCATATAACCAATACAGTAAACATAATGGTTAGTTTAAAATTGTATTAACATTCTAATCCAAAAGTAATTATAACATACTTCTCAGTTATTATGTAATTGTTTATCTAGCTTTTTTACACTTTTAGACGATTTTTATAAGATTGTTCATGATAACTAATCGCTTGGATAACCACTGCTAACCAGACAAAAATAAGCAGCTGTTACACATATTATTACACATTGTATGTAAATAAAAAGTCTCATATAATTCTGAGCTGAACGGTCAGTTGCATATTTCTCAAGTCTACTACTGTTTACTAGGCATATTTACGTATTCTGGATACTACTGAATTAAATAAAGAAAAAAACATTGTTCGCAGCTTTAAATAGATTGCTTTTAGTGTACAAGATTAATATTTTGTTAAGAATCTTCTACACACTGGTTAAAGCTGGTGTTATGACTTTATACATGCTTATGAATACTTGCTATTTATGTTTTTGAGACAGACACATTTAAGTACTTTTTTAATATAACTTTTGTTATTAAATTATTTTAAAATTGTAAGCTTATAAATAAGGGAGGTAAATCTGTAGATCATATACTCTTTGTCAATGTATCCTGATGAGTTATCCCTCCTACAGCAAAGAATAAATAAAAACAATCTTGTAATATTTTCAAGGAATAGCTATACATTTTTCATGCTCTTTTTATCTATGTTTTGTGTGTGCGCGCACTTGTGCACGCGTATGTAAGATACTATATTAAAATAAAATATATCATCACAAATTCATTATCGCCCGTTCTATTCAAATCAAATTATAATTATCAATTCTAACATCATTAATATTTTCAACATAATTGACATTGTAATCTATATATCTCAAAAGGCCAAATTTGCAAAAGAATGTGTGAAATATAAAATATGTAGTCAATAATAGATGTCATATAATAATTATATAACCGAAGGATTAGTTGGCCTTCTAAAGAAAATAATAACTTATTTGAAAGGAACTACATGTATACGTATGCATTTTTATTCACTTTTTCGTAAAGGAATTTCGCAGTGTTTCGGCAGCACAACCTCACAGTCTTTATAAGATAAAGTGTATGAACAGGAAAGGATCATATTTAGATATAAACTTTTATCATATAAGCCATAGATTTTAATGTTTTAATATGGTGCGTATACTTTGCTGTATGCGGACAAATATCCGAAACACGTTGGTTTGAACATTTTGATTAATATGCGTCATCATAATATAAAATTATACTGCATATCTTAGTGTGTCGAGGGTTTTAAAAATAGAATTATATTTGAAAGACCACGGGGCTCATATCTGTCGAATTGTAGAACATTCTTTTGTCGCCGGAGTTTCCAGTTCGCTATCGATTGCCTTTCAAGATGCAAAATGATGGTCACGATACCAAGCCCTCGCCCCTGTATATGAAAACTATGTCTGAATTCACCAACAGCATTGTGTCCACTCACACCTCAGCCATGGGTTCGAATACCGAAAGGGACTTTAATTTAATTCTTTCACGTGTTGAAGCATTCCAGAAAGTTTTCGGACTTCTGTTGTCGGCTCTTCTACTCAGAATGATGCCCACTCAAGTCTGAAATAATTCACAAAGGAACTGCTGCAAAGTCGCAACCTGACCTGAGATACCAGCCTAACAGAAGGGCTAATACTAGTATATGCGATTTGGCGGCCAGCAACGGGGCAATTTACAAATTTGTAAAGAAGAATTGCATATGCCGAAAGTTTGATTAAGTTATCGATCTAAACCAACAATTGTAATTCTTAAAACGAATTAAATTCATATGTCAGAAGAAATATTATTCAAAGACTAAAATAAGTATTTAAAATTATACACAAAATTATACAAAGCTATAGTAAACGCTGGCGTAATTGTTAAGTAATTTAGTTTATTTTCTTACTTTTTTCAGGGGGCTCGTCGTTTTAAGAAAACTGGTTTATGCCTTTTATTATACAATTCGTCGTCGAGTTTCAAATTGACTTTTCAAAAAAAAAAGACAAATGAACGGTCACACATTCGACTCGCCAGCCTATTAACATAATGCGGCGTCAGGAATTAATTTTTCAAAAATATATGATTCCTCTAGGTATAAGATCATAACCACCCAACGGGTTATGGGCACGGAAAATGCATTGTAAAACTTAGTGACTATTGATGTCAACAACTCAACACTCATACTATTAGTTCAAGAGAAAAAATTCGTAAGTGACGCAACCAAGGCAAAAGTTCAGAGATTCAAAATGGCCGCCAAAATGACAAAATACCATACACGTTTTGCTTCTTGACTTTTTCTTTAAAATTATCTTTTTTGGCGGCCATATTTGCGGCCATCTTGAATTTCTGCACTGTACTTTGCTTGAACAGCGTCACTTAAGAAATTGGTATTAAAAAAGTACAAACAATATGCTTTAATTATAATGACAATGTTTTGTTTGGTGATTCAGTAAATTACGATTAAACCCCGCCATCTCTTGGACTTTATGTTTGCTTGAACATGTATGCGCTGAACACGAGTTGGTTAATTAAAATTTGTTCTTGTTTAAAGGATGTGTAATTAATATTATTTACTTTCTGGAGTATTTCTGGATCATCCCTAGGACACGTATAACGCCCTGACAACAGAAACTGACGACGAAAGAAAATGAGGAATTGTCCTGGTACTCAAGATGACCTCAGACAAGGTTTTCACTTTTGACATCTGAGAGGCTACCAAACACTGTTAATAGGTTTGACTCATATAGGTTTTGATCTCATATACAGTAGGTGTTATTCTGTTAATTTTTATTCTTTTAAATTACATCCTTTCTGATTTTATTCTCAAATCTTTGTAAAATTGATTAATACCATTATCATTTTTTATTTTTTTCTTATGTACATATGTTCACAGCATTGTCAGAGTTTCATTTTTACTATATGGCACTTTACTTCGTTTTGAAATGTTTTGTTATATTGTTGTTTTCTCACATGCCCAGTTAGGCCTTGAGATATCAATTAAACTTAAAAAAAATATATTAACCCAGACTATTTACCGTATACCAGTGTTGGTAGATAGTGTAAACGGTATGTGTACAGTGGGGGTAAACACGAAAAGATGTATTTCTATTTGCTCAAGGATTCCGTTCAGGTATATGTATTAAATTCAATCAGGACTGAAATGTAAAGAATCAATCAAGTATTAATCTTGCTTATTCATTTATAATAGTAGGAAATTTAACAATTGGTTTATCAGAATAAAATACACTTTCGACCCAGCAACTTAAGGGTTGCAAAATATGTAAGGAACGATATAACATATTCGCCGCAGAGAACTTGTTACCTTATCGCGCTTTCCGATTAAAGTGTAGAATTTTCAAGATGGAGGATGACAGGTAGGAGATATTTTTTCAGTCATTACTACAATTAGTTAAGTTTCTTAAAGATGTTTTCGCTTCGCTTGTAAAGAATTTGTTCCGGCATCCAGTCATTTAATTTCTAAGACCCTGCACCTTAGTATTTTCTTTTTATTGGCTCATAAATGTGCAGATTTAAAAGTTTGAAAATTCGAATCGAGAGACTAACGCATTTGTTCTCCTTTTCTGACATTTTTTAGCATGTGTAACTTTTAACACGGTTATTCCTCTATGATACTAAATTTTCTTCTGACTTCTTTGCTTTATGATTATTTGATAAAAGACAAACTATTTTTATTATTACGTATTGTATAGCATCTAAATATACTTCCTTTATTCTGTGACATCATCAGTAGCTTCGTCACATATTTCAATGTAACGACTCCGATCCTGATCAGAATCTTCATATCCTATTTTTATACACTCTTACCTTGTACTTTAAAGGTTCCTTTTCAGAAGGTTCGGTGCTGTGTACTTTCTTCATTTGTTTACTTCATAATCTGTAAATATCCTTCTTGAAACATCTTACATGTCATGCAGCACAACCTTATATCATTGTTTTTCAACATAACATTAAATACTGTAGAAACTTATCTTCAAGCACGTGGTCCTTGCATGTTGAACATAGAGTCTTTGGAGAAAGTTTTCTTACTGTCCCGTGTGGAAATGGAAAATACATAGTCAAATAGAATTTAGTTCTTAATTTTTCTTTTTAGATCTGTTTGTTGGTATATCAGTTAAAAAGAATTCGTTTTATCTATCTCTGTATCTTCTATTTTTTTCTGAAAGTCCTGTTTGTTTAATATTAGTATTAACAGCAAGAATTTGACTTTTTAGCTGTCGCTTACGCACTTTTAACGATTTATCATAATCACTATTAACTCTATACAAAAGTCTCATGCTTTATCTTTAATTTCAAAAGGTTCTTTCCAAAAGGAGGTAAATTTAGAAAAACAACAAATTCTTGTTATTGAACGTGATCACCAGGCTCAAAAGTATATCATGACATCATGAAACATTTTATATCTTTTAATTAATTTCCAGTATGTTGCCATACAAAAGCATGTATCACTTCTAATATAACTTGAAGTTCCCGTGTCCATTGTGATATTTACTTAGAAATAGACGGAACTTTAAATGCTATATCAAAATTTGTAGATGTTTAACATAAGGTAGTTCAGAGACATACCTTTGGTTTCAATGCTCAAAAGCCATCATCACATAAGATTTATACTGATCCCGAATGACCAGAAAAATATAACAACACTGAAGTGAAGTACGGGGGAACTTTTTATAGCTCCCACACGGCACTTGACAGCTGCATAATCTATTTTTTAAACTTCTCTGTTAATTGATGTAAAGGTTTAGCAATATCTGAATAGTCTGTTATAAATTTCTGTAAAAACTACAAAGTCCTGAAAGTGGACGGAGTTCATGAACATTTCTAGGCGTTGACCATGACTTTATACAGATTACTTTTTGCGGATCGGTTTTAACAGTATCAGGCGAAACAGAATTCCGAAGAAACTCTACGTCCTTTCCAAAATCATTATAGGTTTTACCATAATACCTTACCTTTTTAATGTAAACCACTTTCCCAGTATTTATATTTATTCACCAATTTTCAGTGTTTACATTTCCCATTTTCAATATACTTTCAGAGCAGGTAGAATTCTTCAGTTAAATATGTCAAAAACTATCAAAGAAATTATTTCGGAGGAATTCCTGACATGCAGTATTTGCATGAAAGAATTTCAAGATCCTAAAGTACTAAAATGCCTTCATACATTCTGTAATGAATGTATACAGGCCACAATACAACACCAAGTTATGACGTCACAGTCGGAGTCGTGTCCTGTATGCCGGACTAGAATTGACCTTGATGCAAATGGTGACTATAACCTTCAAACTAATTTTCGAGTAAAGAACTTACTGGGAATTTTCAAGGTAAATATACAATTCAAGTAACATCTGATTGTCAAAAGAAAGACTGGTGGTTTCCCGACTAACAATTCATTTTGTATAAATATTCTTGTTAGAATTGTTTTTAATTTAATTTTAATTATTTAAGAATAGCTTTGTATTGTGCCTTAACAAAAGTGAATATATATCATTTCTAAAACTTCATTAGATATTGACATAATATAAATACTGTATCATATTTATATCATTTTTAAATATCAGCTGTAGAGCATGTCTCGATATAAGAGTTTTATTATGTTTCAATATCCAAATTATATATAATATTTCGTTTTGTAATATTATGTTTCAAAAGTACTTTATTATTTTCGATGATGATGATTCTATATCTTGTTTTATAGTTGATATATATGTATTATGTTTTGTTGTAAATTTTTATACTTTTTATATTTTTACAGAGGTTGCCGACAAGAGAATTATTTGTAGAATTATACAAAACACAAGTTAGATGTAATCTTAGCATGGCACATATTGTCACTATTTCGGTATGAATATTTCCGAACATCTGAAATATTAATTGTGAGTTGTACAGGGTGGCTTTTCCACGTGGACTGTGGCATCAGAATTTCAGAATTGATATGGAGTTAAAGAGCGGCACAAATAAGCAAACCAATACCAATTCATATTTTCTAAGCTAGTTCTCTTGTCTCAAAACCAATTTAATACAAACTAAAGCAGGCAGTGAAAAACGCATACGTTTTTCTATCCTGTACCATATTTTCAATCATACATTCGACAAACAAACATTCGAACGATGGTTGTGATTTGATGCAGAGTGTCAACTGAAAATGATGAAGAAGCATTCTCGATTTATGTCATTTCATTAATATAATAGGCCCGCTCTCAACAACTTTCTTTTGTGCTTTTTTACCTCGGAGATCAACAAAAAATGTCAAGAGAGGTTCGATTAAAGCAATAAAATCAATAAAATAACAAAGCGAAAGAGAGAATTGTGCGGTCTGCACTGCTTCAATTCGTTTAAAGTTTGATTTACGAGAAGTAGGTCTTTATTGGAAAATATAACTTGTATTGGTTTATTTGTATGTGCCGCCAGTCAACGTAATATTGTTTCTGATGTATCAAATCACGTGGGATGGCCACCCTTTTATAGTTTATTGTGAGCATAAATAGGGTATAATAATAAACATTACTACATAAAAACGAAGCGTGGAGAGTATGTGTTTGTTATTGCTTAGTATTTATTGACTTTTACTAATGGTTTATTTAGGAGGCGAACCAGTGCGTGTACCTTCAAGCTAGTGTCGATGATCTTCGCTTTGCAGTCCTTGAATTACGTAGCCAGATAGAGCAGGTAAATATATTTTATATATAATTAATGTTTAGAGAAAACATTCAGTTTAAAGATATTTTAAATACTTTATTGATATGTAAAATAACATACGCAATTGAATGATAAATTATGAATGATATATCAAGATAACCTCTATCCTCGTGTTTCCTTCCGTATCAGACTTGTGTTGCCGGTAGTTTTACCCATGCCGGAAATTGCATCCTTGTTCACTCAAGCCCGATGATACAATTTCTTCAAAATGACATCATTTTACGCATTCTATGAAGTAAATTCATACGCAATTTTAAAAAAAATAGTTACAGAGGAAATAAATTAATTTCCACGTGACAAACCATTTTAAACATGGTAGAAAAGTCCAGAAAAATATCCCCCCATCGAGTATTTGGAAGGTTATTGGGTTGTATTCTTCTTTACCGCCTAATGGACTGATATTCGTCGAACGAGGGTTTACTATTTGATATGGACATTTAATCTAATGATTTAGTGCTTATCACGGTAACTGAAGGTTTTGAAGTACTAATTTATTTATTCGAGATTTTTTGGAGTAAATCAATAAGATTTAATTTACTGAACTAGACAGGTCTTTATCAAAATTTTCCATTAATATTCATACATTTTTCAAAATTTTACTAATTTTACAAGTGTCATTCCAGTATAAAGCTGATTTGGAAATGAAAAGGGGCATCACGGCAAAACTGTCTGCACAAATGGTAACAAAGGACAACATAATTGACCACTTACAAAAAGCTGTTGATAATTTAACTTTAAAGGTAGGTAAAGATGTTTATGTATGGTAAAGATACATGAAGTATTGCATGATTTTGCATTGAGTAGTTAATCATTTTAATTTAATTCTGTAACTATTATTATTCCATAAATCAATTATCTAGGAACAAAAATTATAGTTTTGATCAAATATTGAATTTTGACAAATGCGGGTCCAACAGATGAAATTCATTACAAGTGAATCATTCACCAATCAAATCTTGAAAATAACTCGGTATATAAAGGACACCTTTAATCGAACAAACGATTGTGGGGGCCTCCGTGGCCGAGTGGTTAAGGTCGCTGACTTGAGATCACAGGTCCCTCACCGCTGTAGGTTCGATTCTCACTCGGGTCGAAATCTTTCATGTGAGGAAGCCATCCAGCTGGCTTACGGAAGGTCGGTGGTTCTACCCAGGTGCCCGCTCGTGCCTGAAATAATGCCCGGAGGGGCACCTGGGGTCTTCCTCCACCAATAAAGCTGGAAAAAAATCGACGATAAAATCTCGGCGGGACGCTCTAGGATGGCCCGACTTGAGTGTACGGTCGCCCATATGGGTTTCCGGCGGCGACCTTAAATAAACGCATTAAAAAAAAAAAAAAGAACAAACGATGAAAAGCCGTCCGGTAGCTCAATAGGTAGAGCGTAGAATCGGTCGAACTGGGTTCGATTCCAGAACAGCGCATGTCACTTTTGTTGCGACTAATCATGAAATCCTTTTTACGGTCATTCGCACTGTACATCTGCTCTAGGAGGTACAGAATTTATCAGTTCCTTGCGAAAGTGACCCAGAACAATGCAGTGGCTGAACTGCGCTATGGTTGCTCCCTGTCAAATCCGGAGGGTAAACTACCAAAAACCACCAAATATAGTACAACACGATTTGCTGGACATATTAAATAAATAATCAAATAAAGAGCACACGCACATATATAGTCTGCTGTGCATGATAGTATGTATTGATTCATCCTCATGTTATGTGTATAAATACTCAGAATAATCTTTAGATTTTGTGTACTCGTGCATGTGTATGAAGTTCAGATCTGCGGTAAGAAATCAGAAAGGCCGTAGTCCTCAGTGATTAATTACAAACATCTGAAAGACATACCGTGCAATATAAAACCATATAAAGCACTGAGAATCATGTTAAATATCCTTTTTAATACATACGTGTGATGAAAAGGAAAGAGGAAAACGCAATCGCAATATCTCGGCTGTTATTCATAATAACCTCGGATTTTATACAGATTGAAAGTTTTTCTACCACGTGGTTTTAAATGTAACTAAAAGCAGAGAGTGTAATTTTGTAATATTGTTTGACATCCAAAGGAAAATAAAGTCTATTTAATATTTTGGTAAAATTATTATTGAAAATATGTCCACTGGTGCATTTTGCGTTTGCTTTTCGGATCAGAATATCCTTACATCGAAAACTGGTGATAATTCCGTGGTACGAGGATACAATATATAACAGAAACAATTAATCTAAACTAATATATCTATAGATTTAATGCTGATCTGAAGGTTTTAAAACACTTATCTTTTTATACGACTTTTAATCTTGAAAATAAATGTAATAAGAGTACTTTTTCAGACAGACCTTTTTCTAAATATACATGTAGTTCTCTATGTTCACATTTTCATCGATTTTATTAATTTTATACGTGTTATTCTAGTACAAAGCTGAATTGGAAAAAGAAAAAGCCATACCGGCAAAATTATCTGCACAAGTGGTCGCAAGGGACAACACGATTGCCGATTTAGAAAGAACTATTGATAATTTAACTTTAAAGGTTGGTAAACCGTTTAGTGTACGGTTAAAATACAGGAAATACCACAAGATTTTGCACTGAATCATTAATCCTTTTTTAACTTTTAAAAAAATAAATACCTAAGAAAAAAGTGATAGCTCGAAATTGTCAACAAATTTTGAAATTTGAAAACAATTGTTACAACTCTGGGTCTGAAAAATGAAATTCTTTAAAAAAAATCATGCATAAATCAAATCTTGATAATAATTCGGAATAAAAAGGACATCTTCAATCAAAGATGTAATGAATCTCCTGTCTACAGGATTTGCAGTGCATTTTTAATAGATTATTTTAAAGAGCACACGTACATGTAGTCCGCTGTGTAATATATTACATTTTGGTTCTGCTCCAAATCTGTACTGCATGTTATGTGTATAAATAATTGCGAATTATCCTTATATTTTGAGTGGTTTGCTGTAGGAAGTTCAGGTGTACAGTAAGAAATCAGAAAGGCCGTAGTCCTCAGTGATTAATTACAATTATAATTTTATATTTCCTTTTTGATCTGACAAAATCAGCTCCTTACTGACACTACGCATTAAAATCTGACGAGCATCAATAGGAGGTCACCTTCTTGTGATCTTTCAAATAGCTAATCATCGGCGAGCTTTTATTTCACAATTTTGAAAGCGATGCGGTTTCTAATTTTATTCGCCCTTTACAGATATATCATTATATCGTTGTCCGTTGAAGTAAAAGAAATTGTTGATTTTTGTTATAAAAATGTTTGAAGGAATTTGAACCAAATAATTTGGAAAAAAATAGACTCATGTTTTATTGGCAATATTGTTTTGCCAGGTTATCTTCTGCCTATATGGACAATGTCATGTATGTTCTCGAAATCTTGAAAATTATCTCAGTTTTAGAAACCGCTTTGCTTTGACAATTGTGAAAGCTCGCCGATGATTGGCTGTTTGAAAGGTCACTCACGAGAAGGTGGTCTTGAAATTCTAATGCGTAGCGTCAATAGGGAGCTGATTTTATTTTTCGATAAGCTTCCAATATATCTCTGAAAAGATGAGACGCTTTATTGTCACATGGTAAAATGGCGACCTCCATGTGCCACCTCTGTGGTTAAAGTGATGGAGACATGTTTCTTTTACACAGTGGATGAACCCAAAGAATAACAGAGATATTTTTGAAATTGATAACAGTCAAATCCCTTCTAAATCAGGAAGAAGTGATAGGAAATGTGTAATTTTCTCGCGAACGAACAATGCATTATAACCCGGGCGAATGGCTAATGGCGTTTTAAGCCATTGCAATTGATGAATGTCGCCTAGCAGAAAGGTCTAGCAGACCTTGCTTAACCCAAGCGGCAACGCCGAAACATTTTTACTCGTATTTGGTACTAAAAATAACTAAAAAAACGAACGCTGAAGTTATTGAATTTCTGTTGCTAAAATTGATTATTTTTTCCGTAAGTATAAACAAATTGAAAGGTATAACCCACTCTGAGAAATGCATTTTGTTCATTCATATAATGCTGCACCTTTTTATTATTTTCTTATCCAGGCGCAAAAAGAAGACCCCGAGAAAACTGTGCATGATTTGGCGAGGTCATCATTTGTTTTCCAAATAGTACATAGATGTGCAGGTTTTTGCAGATGTTTTGCCAGATAACTTCAGGTCAAAATGTACTATTAAATTTTAAATGTTACTGTATGCAACGTTTGTTTTTTTGGTCAATCGTCCTTTAATATAAACACATTTGTTTTTTTTCTTTTTGCCGCCTCTAAACAAACAGGAACGAAAAGTTCATGATATTGTAGATCTACTTAATTTTAAAGTCTTCGCGTTATAGCATATTTATGTTTCTGAAATTTCATTTTGTTAAACAATAACCAATAATTAAAAGTAGCGTTTTTCAAAATTGTTTTACTTTTTATAAACGACAAAAACATGGAAAAAAGTGGTAAAATGCTTTAAGCTACTTAACTATTCTAGTTTATTTGTCATTAAAGTGCCCGACTGGTTCTATGCAAGATATTCAACTATCTATTTTTTTCAATTTTTGGACCAGAGTGGAATTCCATTAATATACACGTATGCATATAGAATAAATAATACTTATGTTTAACCACTGAAGTAATATCGAAGGCAATAATGTCCATTTGTAATTATGTTATAAATACAATTTCGCTGCCATGCAACTGAATTCGCTCGTACATATAATTTTTACAGATAAGTAATGACTGGCTGTAAAGAGGGACACATACGAAAGGAATAAAAAGCACTAACGTTTGTGGATTGTAATATGGTAGACGTAGACATCAAACTCTATCAAACAAATATTATATTCCCTTACACTCTTGTGCAACAAACTTGCCTTTTAATATTTTATACCAGTTGTCAAACACACTGGATATAACATATAAGCGAAAGGCCTTCCCGGTGTCATCGTCTATGTATACATATAGGAAAGCTTTTGAAACCTAAAAGTAAAGTTTGTTTATTTCATGGTGTACTTTACATTAACTCATATAAAGAGGTTCCATTAATTACGTATTTGCTAAAATGGTCAATTTCAAAAATATGCTTAAAACCTGCTAATTTATATCACAAACGTTTAAGTGATGACGTTGTACGAGGATCTTTCATATCATTTATAACTATCATAAATATTATCAAAATTATCCTTTGAGGTCAAACCAAGATTTAATTATTGTTTGCAGAATATTTTTGTGAATAAAACTCTTACTCTTGCCAAATATCATTGTGGTTTTGCACCGCACAGGATAGAAACTGGCCGCTATAAAGGGTTACAGTCTTGCAATACTTTTAAAGAATGGCTATACATTATTTTTATGTTCTTTTTATTTATGTTTTGTTATGTTATGAGAACAGAACAGAACAGAACAGAACATTTATTTTATTAGATTTGTACCATAAGTACATCATCGTAACATATTTACAAAATTAATACATTTACATGTAATATAATACAGTCACATGATAAACCAGTGTTTATAATTATCAAATCGCAATAACACATACATTACATTTACACATTTACATTTAATAAAATTACAAATACATAATATAATCATGATACTTTAAGCATACAATTTCATCGTTTTTTATTCTAAGAGGATGGACTTAAATATGTGTAGCAGATGCTCTTAAAGTCATAGCACGTTTAATATAAATAGCTAAATTTTTAAGAATTGTTCTTTTATCATTTTTTAATAGTTCTACATAATGGTTTCGAACTATATGAATACCATCTTTTAGACAGTCTTTATAATATATTGCTGTACCCCCGCTAGATCGCTTGGCTCTGCGATGCTGAAATTTACGATATAAATTATGAGTTGTATAACCATCAATGTCTATTTTACTTGTTTTAGATGTCCATGTTTCATATAAAAATATAATGTCTTTAGATGTTATAATATTTACAAAATCCTGGCTACTCTTTTTAATATTTGTAAGTCCATTAACATTCCAGGACAAAACACTTAAACTATCCCCACTGTATCCCTATACATCCTTCTGCGCATGCCCGTCTATGTAGAGAGTGTCATAGGACACCCTGTTTTCACACCGAGATCACGTGAGAGACTATAACAAAATGAAAAAAAAATAAAATAAATTTGTATTGTCACAAATTTATCTTCGTCAGTTCTATTCAAGATCCTTTCACTCAATTTTTTAAGGTCTTATATCATAAATACGATGATCAAATGAAACTTTATAAATATTGTAAGTTCTAAAAAGATTTTTTTTAAAGATATTACCGAATTTACATTTCTTGTAAATATTAAAGGAAGGTAATTAGAAATTTATTTTCGATAAAGTTTAAGCCATTTTTTTCAATAAGAAATGAATGCATACATTTTAAGGATTACTTTTAATGCCTTTAAACATTTGTAGTACATATGTAACATATTCTTGAATGTTTGGAAATTGTTTTAGTAGAATAATTGTATATACATATAAAAGTTCACTTAAGTGTTGTTACATCCTACATTACAACATACAGGATCTTTAAAATCAGATAACTATCATCAGTTCAATCATCCTTAATATTATCAACATTGTTTTATTATCTAAAAACAAAAGTTGCAAAAGAATGTGTGAAAAATCATATATGTTTAAGCTGCAAATGTTTAATGTTTTAATTTAGATGTCAAATAATAATTATTTAATCGGAAGATGATTGGCCTTTTAAGATGATAATAACATTTATAACATTCTGTGATTAAAAGTAAACAGCATGCATTTTTATTCATTTTTATGACCCCAGACATATAGTTATTGAATCGTCCGACCGTTCGCCCATTAACATAAAACGGCAAGTTATTTTTCTCTTAAGTTTTACCTATACCAATTGCTTTATAATTTAAAAACTTACCAATAAACACAATGTACAGATGTCTTTCATATTTGGATCCCTTCCATGGTATACTTCCTTTGGATTGAGTAAGGGATCTGTTGATCAAGGTCAAGAGTGTCAATAATAGATTTCTTCACATTTGCTTATATAGCCTTTATTATATGATTGATGTTTTCTTTTCGTGGTCCATTTGGATTGAGTAAGGTGTCAGTTGGGTCAATCACCAGCGCTAAATTAGATTTTTTACACTTTTGCACAGACAGCCTTTATTTTTGGACAAATGTCTTTAATATTTGGTAGGAAGATGTCTTGCATGGTCTTCTTCTTGAGAATTGAGTTAGGGCCCTTAGGCTAAGTGAGTTAAGGTGAGGGGTGCCCAAATAGATATCATAACTAAAAATTTTCTCATGCATCCTATACTTTTAGACTGGAGTTTTTCATATTTTTGGAGGGATCATACCTTGGTAGTCCAGTTTTTGGAGTCGCAAGTCATACATTTGATTATTCTTTATGTTAAGTTAATTATATTTTTAACTTCATCAGATGGTAATGAGATGTCAGCTTATATTTTTCACAATAACAAAACGCCATGCCTTCGTCAAGTTACATAACTGTGTTTACATTATTTTTTTTTTTTTTGCATTTTTTCTGTCTAAAATTGAGAGAATGGGTAAACTTCTGACATTCGTTAATTTGATTACTAACAAGTATCTGGGCCGGGGGTATTTGTGTTATACAAACACGTTTTTATTTCTTTAAAGAATTACGCTTATTTTTTGGCTGCACAACAATATTAGAAGCCCTCAAAGTCTTTATAAAGAAATGTGTATGAACAGGAAATGATCATATTTAGATATAATCTTTTATAATTTAAGGTATAGATTTTATTATGGTGGGTACGAATTCCTGCAGGCGGACAAATCTCCGAAGCACGTCGGTTTGAATTTTTGAATATATGCCATCACAATATAAAATGATAAATCTTCGAAGCACGTAGGTTTGAACGTTTAAATATGTGACATCAAAATATAAAATGATACTGCATATTCATACACGTCGAGGGTCTTAAAAATAGAATTCTATTTTAAGACCATGGTGCAACTTATCTGTCAAATTGTAGAACATTCATTTGTCGCCCGAGTTTTCAATTCGGTATATTTTGTCATTCAAGATGCAAAATGATGGTCACGATACCTATCCCTCGCCACTGTATATGAAAACTTTATATATATCATGTGTTGAGGCTATCTAGAAACTTTTCGAAATTCTGTTGTCGGCTGTTCTACTCAGGTGCCTACTCATGTCTGAAATAATTCACAAAGGGACTGCTAATGTCTCCCTCTTCCAGTAAAGCTGGAAAGTCGCAACATGACCAGAAATGTCAGTCTGACAGACGGGCTACAATAAGCGATCCGGCCGAAATATTTGATGAAAGCTTCGGGGCAATTTACATTTTTTTGCATATGTCAAAGGTTTGTTTAAGCTATAGATCTCAATTCCATTTACAGACCAAGAAATGTAATTCCTAAAATATTTTTTTTTCGCTTTATATAAATACATGTTTATGCTTTTAAGAAAACTGTTTTATGCATTTTCTTACACGATTCGTCGTCGAGTTTTAAGTTGAAGTTTCAAAACATAAAATGACAGATGAACGGTTACAGGTTCAAACAAAATCAACAAAATGATTCTTCTTGGTATGAGAACATAGTCACTTAACTTAACGGGTAATTAGCAGGGTAAAAGCATTGTAAAACTAAGTGATTATTGATGCCAGAAGCTCAACAGTAATACTGTTAGTTTAAGAGATGACGGGGTTTTATTGCAATCTACTGTATCACCAAAAGAAAACATTCTTAAGTGACACAGCCAGGGCAAAGTACAGAAATTCAAGATGGCCTCACAAAAAAATGTTAAAATACCATACAAATTTGCTTCTTGGCTATTTATTTTAAAATTGTTTTTTAATCGGCATATTGGTGGTCATCTTGAATTTCGGTACTACTGCTTCACTTAAGAAATGCGTATTTAGAAACTGCAAACATTATGCTTTATGTTTCTATCGGTGATACAGTAAATTGCAATCTCTCTTTTAGACTATATGTTTGCTTGAACATGGATGCGCAGGACACGAGATGATAAATAGAAACTGTTCTTGTTTTCCTGTTATAAGGATAGATTAAAGGATTTGTAATAAATGTATTTTAGCTTGTGAAGTATGTCTGGATCATCTGTAGTACATGTATAACGCTCTGGCGATGAAACAAAAGGAGGCAATTCTTCGTTCTCAGGACGACCTCATACAAATTTTTCACATGTGACACCTGAGATTTTCTTTATATCTTGATCAAACATTCTTAATAAGTTTGACTCATTGATTTTATATACAATAGTTGTTATTCTGCTCCAGCAGGCTCATGATATTATTAAGTTTTAAATTAACAAATATCGTAATTTTATAAAAAGGGCTGACAGCAGACGAACAGACAAACAATCAAAATGGCAAACGTTCCGACTTGGCTAATAGTATTGCAGAGTAAACTAAAACAATAATAAAATGTAATATCACTTTGACAAATACAGGCAGACAGACAGACTGATATAAAGCTTAAGACCAGTATACCCCCTCCCTGCCTCCCTTATACAGTTTTCGTTGAGTGGAGAAAATGTTTAAAAATAAGGCAAACAAGTAAAGATATTTCATTTATGTTTCATTTTAATTACAATTGGTAAGTTACATAAACATTTCTAAGAAATTACTTAAACTAAATAATGTCAAATAAGGTTTGCATCAAAACGGGAAAAAATCCCACATAAAATCTAATTCAATGATTATTTAAAATTGAGTAAAGATATTTTAAAACCATGATTTTACTCAAATATTTCAGTTTTTTTTCACAATAATGTTTCAAACCTAGTGAAAATACTTCAAACAAATGAGCCGCGTCATGACAAAACCAACATGATAGGTTTGCGACCAGCATGGATCCAGACCAGCCTGCGCATCCGTGCAGTCTGATCAGGGCTAACAGTTTCTCTACTTGATATAGGGTTTGTAAACGAACAGCAAAAATCCTGATCAGACTGCGCGGATGCGCAGGCTGGTCTGGATCCATGCTGGTCGCAAACCCATTATGTTGGTTTTGTTATGACGCGGCTCAAATAGCATCGAAATTAAGTTGCTGAATATATGATAACAATTTCGCATCAGTCACGTTGTATGAGTTTCTACTTAACAATGCTTCATGTTAAATTATTACATTAGATGACATGATTAGATAGATGTGAGGTGACATATTGGCGTAACATACGTTTTATAAAACATCACATATCCTGAAAATTGTCACTTTATCATTTGTAGCAGAATTAGCATCCTGATATTCAAGAATAGTCTTGAAGACTTTTACTCAAGTGCTTTTACAATTTTCTAGAAACAAACAACAGATCATTAGTGGCCCATTATACTCCAAAGGCCTTACGTTTCAAGTGCTTAAAGACTTTACCTAATGTTGAACGATATTTAAATAAGATATAACATATAAGTACTGTATAGAAGAATTATTTCTTTTTCTTTCTTTCTTTTTGTTGTTGTTGTTGTTCATGTCGTAAACTTGTGATAGAAAATGGTAGGCATATTGGAACAGATAATTACAATGTACTTAAGTATTGCTTTCATTGCTTAAAGAATATTTATGTTATAGAAGACGAACGGCATTTTTTCTTCGAATGTTCACCAGAGCTGTCTGTTTTATAGATACATGATTGCATCAGTATTCCCATTATTATTTTTTCCCATTGTCATCGATAATAACTTGTGAAGTCATATCATTTGTTAAATATGTATATCATATATTGGATATCTGAAAGGAAGATCCAAATGCTGTATAGTTATTTAATGATTACATTTAACTACCATTGTGTTTAGTTTGTCATTTCATTATTTGATTGTATTGCTGCACATTGTATTTTTCGAGGAATAAATTATTTTCTATTGTCTATATATTGTTTATTATGTATTGTATATAACATAAACGTATCTACAATGCATGTTATCTATCTTATAAATTTACACAAAATCTTATTTGATAGTCAGATAATTTACTTGAAAACAAAGCGACTAAAAATAGTATAATATACTTTACCGAAGTAAAATGAAACGTGAAATGTTTATTGGGTTTAATAATTACCCTGGTACTTTTTATTTTCAGTTCAAAACTGATTAAGGTTTGATGCAAGTGTCATATGGAATACTGAGATTTTATAATTTGAACAGTTTACAGGTAAATATGTTTTGTTTTTCCTGCAAGAAAATTAACAGACAATATTACAATATGAACACTTGATAAATATGTTCATGTGTTTAAATGTAGTAAATTGATAGATTACATGTGATTTAATTAGAATTTCCACAGCATCAATATAGGCTTTAATAGCAGCAGTCCAGAGCTGTCCGGTACGGGGACATGATTAAGATAAGTATTACAGTTTTTTTAATGTTTTTGTACGTGCCACCTAAAAACGACTATAAATACCTTTAATATATTCCCTTATTCGGCTGCGAAAATTCAAAAGTCGCATGATTTACTGCGGAATGACACGATTAATTTTCAGAAATTATTGCAAAGTGAATAAAAACATTAACCCTTTAACATTATTCTAAAAATAGACTTTACCCAATCACCACTGCGTATCGTAAACCCCTTTCACACTAGCGCACCAGGGACACAATTAAATGAACGCCTCTCGGAAGCAAATATCCAAGTGGAATATATTAAAACCTTATGAAACTGTTCATTTTCTTCAGAAAACAATGTGTTAGTTTCTGGGGGGAAAGACGTACATGTACACATCACGTTCTCACCAAATCATTTAACTATTCCATTGAACCTGACGGTGTCCCTGAACTTAGTCGCTGGCTATGTAACAATACTATAATTTGACCCTTTTAAAAGGTAACCTGGCGACTGAAATAGTGAAAAGAAAACGATCCAATTGACCCCCTTAGGAGTTTATTTTCATATTTGGCAGTGTGCCTTAAAAACTGTACAGTACACGCAGGAGACCAGGAAACAAGAAAATACTCTCTTAATTTAAATTAAAATATTATTCTATAAATGCAAAGACAACATTCACATCTATATAAACGCCATCGAGTACCATCAATTCTGCGGTCACCTCCATTATACCACTTTCTCAGTGTTAACATTTACCACTTTCTTATTGTTAATGTTTACCACTTGACCGGCACTTACATTTACCCCTTTTTCAGTGTTATTACATTGTAACCACATTCACTCTCTCATTGTAAACATTTACCCCTATTCAGTGTTAACATTTTCCATTTAAAACATCAACCACTTTTTCAATGTTGATATTTTCAATTTTCTCAGAATTAACACATTTTTATCAGAATTTTCACATCTTATTGGAATGGATAAAGTACTGCTGATATTTATTTAACTTGTAATATACTTTCAGAGCAATTAAAATATCGTTAAATATGTCAAAAACTATAAAAGAAATCATTTTTGAGGAATTCCTGACATGCAGTATTTGTATGGAAGAATTTCAAGAGCCGAAGGTACTAAAATGTCTTCATACATTCTGTGAAGAATGTATACAGACCACAATACAAAAGCAAATTATGACGTCACATTCGGATATTTGGTGTCCTGTATGCCGGACTAGAATTGACGTCGATTCAAATGGGGACTATAACCTTCAAACTAATTTTGTCATCCAGAATTTATTTGGAATGATCAAGGTAAATATTTAATTTTCTATGGATATTTTTTAAATTCTAATGATATCTAAATGCCAAAAGACAAATATTTTGTTTTTCAGACCGATGTTTAACTTGTTCTAAAAATTAAAGAATAACTTTTGTATTGTGCAATATCAAAACTTATGTTTTTATGTTTTAATATCAAAACCACTTTCATATTTCACTTATGATTCGATATCAGTACTGTATCATGCTGTATTGTGTCTTGTAGCAACTCTATATTATGTCTCGATATCAGTTCGTTCTATTTTATGTTTCGATGTCAGAATAATATCAGAATTATATCATGTTTCGACAACAATACTAAGTGAAGTTATGTTCTGTATCAGTATTTTGTTATGTTTCAAATTCATTTCTGTATTATGATGCGATATTTAGTGCTACGTGCATTATGTTTTAATATCAATTCTATATTATCTCTCGATATCATAATTATAGTACGTTTCACGATCGATGAAATACGTTATTTGTTTCAAAAACAGTACTAATCAATTTTCGATAATACTTCTGTGCTTCGTTTGAATATCAATACTATATTATGTTCGATGATGATAGTACTTTATCATGTTATCAATAGTTCATTATTATGTTACGGTTTCAATGTTATATTACATATATTTATAGGATTTGCCAACCAATGAAACATTTGCAGAATTATACAAAGTAAAAGCTGGACACAATCTAAACATGGCACAGATTTTTGCCATATCGGTATATGCATTTTTAAACTTTTGAATTTGGCATTGTTTGTTATTGTTTACTGTGTTTTTGAGCAGATTTGGGAAGATGGGCGAAAAAAAGATCACCCCTAAATATGCCAATTAAGGAAGGTCTGCAGGTCGGTCATCACGTGGTTAGTAGCTGTAAGTTCATTCCGTAGAAATCCTTCGATTTTTACGCGAAAATGTTAAATCTCGCCATCTTATATCCATAAAAATACAACAGTTATGGATATCTACAAAAAATATGTGAATATTATTAATTCGGTTTATTCTCTGGTACGTGTAAAATAATTTTCAAGATGGATTTCAACCTAATTTCTGATAGGTTGTGAGAAAAGTGCGAGTGGGAGCATTCAGAGAAAAAAACTTATCCCGTTTCAGGTCGAAACCAGGCAATAAATCTATAGACCTTTTTACGACGCGGTTCGTTGCTATGAAATATCGATCGGAAGTAGTATTTTCTCGCGCATGCGCAATATGCGTAGGGCAAAGAGCATCGCCCCACATAGAAGTATAGTAAAAGTTAATAGACAATTCCGAGTTACTTTAACGTAAAAAGCTGAAAATTATATGAAATAGCTTTTAACAAAAACATAAAAAATTACTGTTTTCTGGGTGTCATAACTTTAAATCACGTATATTAAAGTCTTTATATATGATAAATTGTAGTCATCGTTATTGCGTTTTTGCCCTAAGCGGAATACGCATGCGCGAAATGCAACATTCGTTGCTATCGAAAGGTCGTATTGTAAAAAGGTCTATAAACTTGTCTTACAATTGCATCAAATACCGAAGCCATTCTTTGGTGCGCTACATTATGTTTTGATAGCCTAACCATTTCTTATAATAAAATCGTATCTAACCTTTGAGTCGACGGAATTTCTACAAAAAAAGTGGTCCGAGTGGAAACATTCGGCAGGTGCGCTATGGCGCAGTATCCTACCAATGTATATGTGGAATCTCAGAAAAATATGCATATGATATGGACATTTGCGACTCTGGAAATAAAAACGAAGCTGAATTATAAGATCCCTAATCTGACTTTTATTTGAGGGACAGTAGATCAAATGACAAAAATTTGCCATTGTTCCTTTTGGTAACAAACAATTTGTGCTGAAATTCATATTGAAATGCACAAAGGGTCATCTAGGATTCTGTCCATTAGAATTAGGATCCAAAAATGGTTTGTTTTTGAACATCACGTGGGGCAAACGCTGAGGGTCCATTTGTTATACTTTATAATAATGTGCGAATGACTCAAAATACTGCAGTTATACGAATTATCATTGTACGGATGGTATTTTTAAGGTCTGGTTTGTTTTTATTGTGAGCTATTGCAACAGAAAATAAAAGAAACACAGTCATATTAATTTATGTTTTCTGTTTTACTAGGATTCTAATCGATGCACATACCTTGAAGCTAGCGTTGACGAACTTAAGTGTACTGTCATTGAATTGCGTCGGCAGATAGAGGAGGTATTTATATATAGAAATATTTCTATGCAAACCACTAAAGATGTGTGTAGTTGGCAGCCTATCGGCCCAGCAGCCTAAATTTTACAGTTGCATAAACGCGATTAAAACAATAAAAACGGCATTTAATGAAATTCTTAAGACAATTCTTGTTTTTTAAAAGACATATAAAATTGAAAAAAAAACTTTTAGAAATTACTTTGATTTTATCATTTTGCGAAGTTGGCGAGTTTTAATGCTGTAAAGGTTTGTCAAAGAAATTATAACGGCTCTAAATTAAGATTTAAACACATATTTTGTCATTTAAAAGTTACATAAAAAGAAAAAAAATCACATTCAGACAGTTTTTGTTTTCTGGCGGCCTGGCAGCCTTAAATATTATAGTTGTTTATTACATGCTTTTCGGTGGTTTATAGAAATATATCAGTGATATAAAACTGGTAATTTCACTGTTTGAAACAGTGAAATTACCACTTTGATAATTTCACTGTTTTGAATTTAAGCCCCTTACGTTGTTTCAGTGAAATACCAGCGTGCACAGTACTGGGTACCAACTTAATGACGTGACGTCGTAAATGACGTCACGTTGTATTATTATTTGGCGCGCTTTTCATTCAGTATTAGATTGAATGTCTTTTTAAAACGTTTATTTGCATATAATAAAAAGAAAATGTGTTTAGTAAAGTGTAAGATCGAAATATATTTCACCTTGTGAATACCAAAAGTTCATATTTCACTCGTGGCTGCACCACTCGTGAAATATACCTTTTGGTGCTCACTCGGTGAAATATATTCCGATCTTACACTGAACTAAACAAATATCCTCTATATAAATGTTACAAATCAATTAAAACGGCACTTTATGACGTTCTTAAGACTATTCTTGATATCTAAAAGATATACATGTATAAAAAGAAAAATCACTTTTAGAGAACTTTTTGACTTTATCATTTTTGTGAAGCTGGAGGTATAAGGGCCTAGTGGTCTAAAATTCACAAAATTATAGATTAAAAAGTGTTCTCACAGTGATATATTCTTTTTATATATCTTTTAAATGACAATGTACTAATGTCTTTTAATTTAATTAACAGTCGTTTTAATTTCTTTGACAAACTACTACAACATCAACATTTTAGGCCGCTGGGACGCTATGCCGTCAGCTTCACAAAAATGATTAATTATATCAAAAAGTTCTCTCAAAGTGATTTTTTTAAAAATCTTTTAAAAATATGAAGAATAGTCTAATAAGATCTTTACTAAGTGCCGCTTATATTGTTTTAGTTACATTTAGTACGGGGCAACTTTTTACAGCTGCCACACAGCACTTGACTTGACACCTGCTGTTGTGAAGTATAAAAAAAAGTCAACTGATTTGTTGTTGAGTTCATATAAAAACTTAACAATTTTTGTAGCATGAAATCCAGATTAATTATCATTCTGAAAGAAGTTAGAACAGGTGATCATGCATTTTTAGTGTTCAGTTTACCCGATTTTATTCTTTACCCAAATTTGACTGTAATGCACACAGAAAAGTTTTAGTCACATAAATATATTTTAAATACTTAATTTTTTTCAAAATCTTGAGAAGTTGTGAAGAGACATAACACACATTTTATCCGGTTCCTCGTAACACATGTGCACTCTACAGTAACTATTTGTCACTTCACAAAATCAATAAACATTTATCGGAACCGCCTGGCCAATACAATTATTCAAAGGAAGTGTATTCTAATGTAAAACAGGGGTAATGAAATGTCATCTTTTTTATATAAATTACTGATGGTACTTTAAGAACCCGGTTGAATGAACAACCGTTCGCGCGTTTATCTGTTTGACACTTATCGCCTGGCCAATCCAATTATTCAAAGGAAGTATTCAATACAAATTGTGTAATATTATGTAATACAGGGGAATGAAATTTTATCTTTAACACCCTGCTGTTTTAATTTAAATGACAGATGAAAAAGTCGTCCAATGATACCTTAAACAGACGACATGTGTAATGCCCTTTTTTATATGCCCGAAAGAATTTCGGGCATATTATGTTATACCCCCTGGCGTCTGTCCGTCCGTCCGTTAGCAATTTGGTTTCCGGAGCATAACTTAAGTTCTATTTGGCCCATAGTATTCAAACTTCATAGGATGATTGCCCATATTGGGTAGAAGACCCCTATTGATTTTGGGGTCACAAGGTCAAAGGTCAAGGTCACTATTACCGTTAAACTGAAAATGGTTTCCGAAGTATAACTTAAGTTCTATTTGGCCCACAGTTATCAAACTTCATAGGATGATTGTCCATATTAGGTAGAAAACCCCTATTGATTTTTGGGGTCACAAAGTCAAAGATCAACGTCACATTTACCCTAAAACTGAAAATGGTTTCGGAAGCATAACTTAAGTTCCATTTGGTCCACAGTATACAAACTTCAAAGGATGATTGTCTATATTGGATAGAAGTCCGCTATTGATTTTGGGGTCACAAGGTCAAAGATCAAGGTGACTATCACCTTTAAACTGGAAACAGTTTTTGCTCAATAATTCAAGCATTAATCAACCTACAGCTAAAGTACTTTCTGGCATATAATACCCCGCCTAGCGGTGCTCTTGTTGACCTTTGAATTATTAGTCCCGCATATTTACTTAGATCTGTCACGTTTTCAGTACTTAACCGCTTTTAGTCATCTCAAAATTAATGTTTTCTGGCTGACATAACACGAAATCGCGCCTATTAATAAACAGTAGTCACCGTTATTGCGTTTTGCCCGACGCAGAAAGCGCATGCGCTAAATGCCACATTCGTTACTATTGGAAAAAAGGATTGTAACAAGATCTATAGATTGATTCCTAACTATGTCCCTCCTCAATAAGAACTGAAGTTTCAAGTTGATATCTCAAATTATCTTGAGTTATGCCGCAGAAAAAAATAAGCATACAAAAGACAAAGGGCAATACCTCAAATGTTTTGAAAAGTAAAGTTGTACAATGTACTTGCCTCAAATGTCTTGCAATGTACTCGTCCTTGAATGTTTCGAAAGGTTAAAATGTGCAATGTACTCGTCCTTAAATGTTTTGAAAGGTAAAGTTGTGTAATGCACTCGACCTGAAATGCTTTGAAAGCTAAAGTTGTACAATAAACTCGTCCTTATGTGCTTTGAAAGGTAAAGTTGTGCAATGTACTAGTCCATACATGTTTAGAATGGTAAAGTTGTGCAATGTATCGTCCTTAAATGTTTGAAAGGTAAAGTTTTACAATAAACTCGTCCTTAAGTGTTTAAAATGGTAAAGTTGTGCAATGTACTTGTCCTTAAATGTTTTCAAAGGTAAAGTTGTGTAATGTACTCGTCCTGAAATGTTTTGAAAGTTAAAGTTGTACAATAAACTCGTCCTTAAATTTGTTTAAAGGTACAGTTGTGCAATGTACTCGTCCTTAATGACATCTTATCACCTATGAAGTTTCAAGTTTCTATATTGTTTTTCTAGTTATGCTCTGGACAAAAAAAGCATGAACAATTACAAAGTGCAATTACTTAAAATGATGACGTGTTCAGTAATCATTTTTGTACAGTGCATACATCCTTCATGCGATATATCTATCTGCGAAGTTTTAAATAAATTGATATCCCAAATATTTTTATGAACAATTATAAAGTTTACGATTGGTGAAGTTATATAAGATCTATTCACCTATGAAGTTTCAAGTGTATATCTCAAATGGGTTAAATGTTACGTCAGAAAAGAAACAAAACAAAAAAAGGCATGCAACATTACAAAATAATTAAGGATGGAAATAACAAATAGCAATAACTCTGTTAAAAAAACTAAAAATAATGTTTGGTAATGTACATTGCGTGCTTTTTCAATTCACCTAAAATTTTAAGTTAAAGTTTATATCTCAATACTTTTCAAGTTATGCTCAGTACAAAAATTAAGCATGTAAAAGAACAAAATAATTAAGAATGAAATACCGGTAAAGAAAAGTCAATAACTCAAAACTATAAAAGGAATAGTTATCATTTTTTGCGAATGTAGGACAAAACCCCACACGTGAAAACCCCCACCTCAAACTTTTATAGAGTGAACAAAACACCACACATGAATTTTATAGAGTGGCAAAACCCGACACCTTTAATTTTCCAGAGTGGTCATAACCCCACACTATCTACTATTTGTTACCATACAATTCATATGACTTTGATCATGAAAGATAATAAATGGTATCTCCTATTTTATTTCTGTATACAATGCAATATGATTAAATGATAAAAGACTCTACAAAATTAATGGTACAAACTGTTAAATAAAGATCAAAGGGTAAACTTAAAATATTACAAAATGTTAAATAAAAAGCAAAGAGTAAATAAAAATTAATCTTAATCTTATTTTATTGTCAATCAAAGGTCTTAAAACATTAGTAATAAAAAGTGTGGGGTTATGTCGACTCAATAAAATCAAAAGGTGTGGGGTTTTGTCATATCTATAAAATTTTGAGGTGTGGGGTTTTGACGTGTGGGGTTTTGTCCGTCTTCCCTTTTGTGCACTGCACCTACGAAGTTTTCAGTTGACATCTCAAATACATTATGCTCTGGACAAAAATATATTAAACAAGCTCTAATTTTCGAAGAAAATAAATGTGGTGCTATTGTCATGACCCACTCATCAGTGTCGACTTCGATATTTGCGTTAACGTCGGCATTATTTAACCTTTTTGTTAGGGTCGTTTTCTAGATAGTGTCAATCATATTCACTCTAAACTTTACATACATGTTTATGGTTATAAAAAGACGACATTTCAAATGATTATGCAGATAATGCTTAATATATTAAATGCCATTTTTCAACTTAAATTTTCAGTCATTGTTAACCTGTGTATTAGGATTCATTTTCTCGGAAACTAAAAAGTGTCATTTTTTTTTATTGATGTTGTTGTTGTTGTTATTGTTGTGTTATTTTTTGCCCTTTTTATTTCCACACCTAGACACAAAAACAAAAGAATGATCTCGAAAAAACTGTAAATGATTTGACGAAATCATCATGTGTTGTCCGGAAAGTACGTAGATGCGCATCATACATTTCGGGTTTTTACTCCAGATTATTTCAGGTGCGTAAAACAATCTGCTTCGTAAAAAATATAAAGGGTCTTTTAAAAAGAATATTTAATTCTCGTTTGAAATACCTTTGTTTGTCCATCACTTTAATTCAAGGCTAATTTTCCGTTTAGCAAGCGAAAGTTCATCTTTGTGTGCCTGTTTCTGTTGTTTTTGATTTTTTAGAAACAAAGTCAAAAGGCAAACGATTCTAATAGTTTTCTCTTGCTGGACGCATTATGGGAAAAACAATAAATCTTTAAGTTTTAAAGTCATCATCTGAAACCTAAGAGCAAAGAGGATTAAAGTCATATTTTATTTTTATTATTAGTATGTTTTGAAATTAAAAAAAAATAATTTAAGAAATGTTGCATTAAAACCACAAAAGAAATTCTTCTAGATAAGTTACGGAATTTCGCAAAGTTTCAAGCTCGAGCGAAATTTACTATGTGAAAATAAATACTTTTAAAGTATAATCATATGATGTCCGAAATAAATAATTTTAGAACACTGTCGATGTTCACTATACCGAAGAAGAAGAAGAAGATGATGGAACAGAAGGAGGAAGAGAAGGAGAAAGTTTGCTTTCAAATTCACATACAAGAAATTACTGGAACATTGATAATTTACCACATTTATTTAGATAAGCTGCCAATTAATATACCTTAATTAAAACAGACAATTATTTTAAAAAGACGAAAGTTTTAATACTCGTCCATTAGTATATTTCACAAGTAAGGCCTAAACTAAAAGTGTTTATTTCTCTACCCACAAAATTAGCTACCCCAAAAAAATCACTGCCATAAATAATACCTTCCTAACTGTATACCTACCTACCATCTCAAACTGACATTGGTCCCGAAACAAGCCTAAACACACTGGCATGGTAGGGGGGAACAAATTTTGTATATAAAGGCTGCCCGAATATAATATTTTCTATACTCTTTAGTATTAAACATGATACCAAGTATCAAAAATAAAAGAACAAGGTAATGGCTACTACAAAAGGAAAGACTCATTACTTTAAAGTTAGTTTTTGTGGTGTAAAAATGGCACGAGAACCTTCGCTACAGTTTCCATATAGAAAAATAGAAACTATATGTTTTATACTTATACTCTATGCCATTTCTACATAAATATCTTACATAACAGTTCTCTTGAAAGTCATCAAATACTCGATTTATGTGTTTATATTATATGTTATTTTGGTTTTGGAGTGATATATGTGGATATATTACCTGTTAAGATTTTATATCACCCGAGCCGTAGGCGAGGGTGATATTTTATCTTGGCAGGTAATATATCCACATATATCACTCCAAAACCAAAATAATAATTTTATTACCCTTCCCCTGCCGAGTTAAGACGATTTTTTAAAAAATCATTGCTGTTTCAAATGAAACGTCGAAATAAATTTCCCTTTAGGGTACCTCTTCGTCACAACATGACGTCACATAAATACATGACGTTTTTTTTCCGTACCTAACGAATGTAAACAAGAGAAAAGGAGTAGTCTATTGAACGCACTTTTTTGTAATTAATATCAAGCTTTTACAAGGTCATATTTGTTTTCGATACTGATGGTAATATGTATCATTACTCTACTTTGGTAAATATTTATCATTTGACAGTTAAAAAGTGCTTTTAAATCGGAATTTACACCGCGTAAAATCGAACCGTACGCGCATCACATCAGCGCATGTTGTTTACAACGTTGGGTACCCAACGGGTAAATTTAGTGTGTATATTACCCGTCTGGCTCGGTTATATCAATTTCTTTCGGGTGATCAATATCCAATCAAAAAGGCGGAAAAAATCTGGAAGGGTAATAAAATTGTATATATGTGTTTTAATAGCTTACTTTAGCACAAAAATGATAATTTAAAAACATGTATGTTGTCATATATACATTGTTCATTTATTTGAAAATGAATTTATATCTTTACTTTTTTCAGTGATTGTGAACTTTATATGATTTTTTCATGAAATTCGATCATGACATATATGCCCACGGTACCGACTTTTGTTTCTTTCCTTGATTTAAATATTTGTATATTTTGTATTGTATATATAACACAATGTCACTTAGATAATCAATATACTTACATATAGACAGAATAAAAGCCTTTGCATGATTTAAGAATAACCAAAAAATATTTCTGATTATAAGGAACAATTGGTTTTACCCCAAAGCTTGCTCTTCTTTATTTTTTATTAATAAATATTGTTATAGCCAACACTTTTGATTATAAGGAACTCATTTTTTTGATCCGTTTTGACGAAAATGCACTGAAAATGAATTGTTCAAAACAAAAAGTACAGTCTATTCATAGACGATCCTGTACTTTCTACGTTTGTTTTCATTTCCATGAATTGAACGAAATTGGACTTTTTTTCAATAAGAACTTGTATCCATTTAGTTTTAATTTACAAATAGCATATTACGCAATAAATTGTTGATATTTACGAATATTTATAATCCAATGACATCAACCAGTATCAGTAAATCTTTTTCAGAGGTGTAAACACTGAAAGAGACAATATTAGTAGAAAACTTGTCATGATTAATGACAGTTAAGCATATCCTGAAAAGAAGACTGATATTTATATATAAAAATCATGGTCAAACCTATACATTTATAAGTAGCTTAAGATAGTTCCGTTCATTTTAGGTGGATTTCTTTTATAAATACATTTTGTACAATATGTTAGTGTCATTATGCAAAATAAGCATTTGATTTTTTTTAAGTATTTCTTCATATATTTGAGTGTCATCCATACATGACAACATAAAACAATTCAGTTACATAATTTTACATATAACAAATGGAAACGAAACGACAATCACAAACTGAGATGAGTTTTTAATAAATATCTAAATCAGAAATGAAAAATGATGATAAACATTCAATTAGATACGACATTATTTGATTATTTATGAAAGCTTCTGATATATGAAACTATAATTTTTTATATGCTTACAAGGATTCAAGTATACCCGAGAGTTCGCTATACGCGGATTTTAGCTTACACGACTTCGTTACAATCCTGGGCCGTGCTATTTAAGAAAGGCGACGCGAATAATGCTAAAAATTAAAGAGGTGTAACGTTAATAAACATCATGTCAAGTATAAATTCATAGATACGTTTAAACCGGGCTCCTTTACACAATAAATTCACACCAACACATTTTGGATTTACTTCAAAAAGGAAAATCGATATCGGATAGCATTTTTATCTTAAACTGAATTATAGCAAAAACATTGAATAAAAAATTCGGAAACAAAGTGATCCCTCGGAAGCATTAATCACAACAAAATTACAAGAGAATTGCAGACTCGGTTTGATTGAGTCTGTACATGAGGGATAATGAATAAGTGCAACATCCTTCACGCCCCCTAGCACCGGCTTGAGCGGTACTCAATTCTCAACACTTAATAGTGCTGGAATCAATGATCCCGAAGGACCAGAAAAATATAACAACACTGAAGTGAAGTACTGGGCAACTTTTTACAGCTGCCACACAGCACTTGACACCTGCTGTTGTGAAGTATACAAATCTGGAAACAAAGTGATCCCTCGGTAGCATTAATCACAACAAAATTACAAGAGAATTGCAGACTCGGTTTGATTGAGTCTGTATATGAGGGATAATGAATAAGTGCAACATCCCTCACGCCCCCAACATTATTGCGTGATCATTGATAACTTTGTGTTAGGTTTAACTCGTAGCTGTCCCCCTTCTTTGACTATACGTCTGGACCCCAGTTCACCTTTGTTGTCCATGTTTTGTTTTGTTGTGTTTTTTTTGTAAATGACTTGATAAATAATATACATGTATACAATGACATGTCGGGAACAATATCCCGTATATATAATGATATGAATCTCTTTCTTTTAATGCACGCAGACGATATGGCTCTTTTTAGTCAATTAAAAGAAAATCTTCTTATGGCAATGACGTCGAATCATTTTTGCAATATTTGGGGTCTCACGATTAATGTTGAAAAAATTTAAGATTTTATATTTAAAAACGGCAGATCAACTCATATGGACATGTTCATTTATAACACTTCAATTGAAGTTGTAAAATCTTTAACATTTCAAGGAGTGCATTCATTCAGTAATGGTACCGGTGGTATTATAACGTTGGTTGGAACTGAAAATCTATATAAAAATCCTAATTCCAATATCTATTTAAGCACAACTTTATTCAATGTACAATGGATGGTGAATGATCATAAAGCAACACATTATTGTGAGAAATGAAAATAATTGCAATTTAAGTGTTAATAGGTCTTTAATTCAACTTAAAGGGACACTAGTCCGAACATATTTTGTTGATTATAATAGTTTAAGTTATTGCCCTCTATGTGTTAACTTCAACTTGAGCTACCTTTACATTATCATTGTGCGAGAGGAATCAACATTTGTCATTAATGTAAGCTTCTCTCACTTGTAGACATGTAACTACATATCGGGTAACTACACATATGTAGCCCATACACAAATGTCGCTGACTTATCGAAGCTTTGAACAAAACGTCATCGTAAATAAAGTTCACATGATAGATAGGCACATAACGAAGAAGTATTAAAGACCAGAATATGTACCTGCGGCCAGCAACAAAGTAGGAAGGATACTAGGATGCATGAGCCCTAAGTATGCAGTGAATGCTTGGAAGACAAGCCCTGTGCTTGACACAAACAACATTTTTCTCGGCTACCTCACTTTTTCATATTGTCTTGGGTTATTGTATGTTTAGGCGCTAATTGATCCCTATACATTGGATGTAGGCTTACAATTTATCTCTGTGACTAAGTATATGTTGATATTGCACGGAGATAAATTATCATTACTTTCTGCTTCAAAATTAACCCTTTAAGGGCATTACTGGGCACATGTACGTGTTTCGTACTTGAAAGCTGCTTTTTGTGTCTCAAAACTCACAAAAGTTTAGAAACTCTCTCTCTCTATCTGTCTCTGTCTCTCTCTGTCTCTGTCTCTCTCTCTGTCTATCTCTGTCTCTGTCTCTCTCTCCCCATCTTGGAGAGGCACAGTAGGACGGCAGAGCATTTAAACATTCAAAGATCGCAGCCCCCAATACCCCTTCCTCCCTCCTATAAGTCCAGTAACACCAAACGACCGACACTGAACCCAGCGAGGCACCAAACAAACGCAGAAGATGTCATAGCGACAAAGCATGGTCTAGATGCTGCAGCGTCAACAACTTAATCACAGGAATTCTAGGAAACCTAAGAAACACACTTAAAACGTATTCAGACAAAAAATAAACGGCACAAACAAGGGTGAAGGGGAAACGTATCGGATGTCTAGAGGAGGGGTTGTAAATGAAAAATGCAGGGTAAAGGATTACTTACTGTTGATGACAAATTTACACGTTTTGCTAGTTAAACGTAAACGATTGTCTGTGCGCATTGTATTTTCAGTGATTTGTCCTGATTTTCTCGAGCTAAAGTCATAATGAACGGTAAATGAATAGCGTATTGTTTCATTGTACCAGATTTATTACAGCAATTAACAAGTTTTTATTAAAGGACCTTCCAGTTGGAAAACGGACACAAGTTTTCTTTTTTACGTCAATTCACGATGTACATTTGCTCTGGCATGAACAGTATATAAATAACACATGGGTTTGTGGGTAACAGTAAAAATATCATCCGGAGGAAAATACTGTTACCCGAGGCGTAGCCGAACGTAACAGTATTTTTTCAAGGGATGATTTTCACTGTTACCCACAAACCCATGTGTTATTTATGTTATTACCCCGAACAAATACTGTGATGATCTGAATTTGTAAACTAAATCTAACTGTAACAAAAATAAACTGAGTGTAGCAATAACTAAACTGTCCTTACCTTGCAAGCTGTAGGCCTACTGTACTTGAGAAGCTGTTTTTCTTTTATTCTTTAAGCAAGTGATGATATCTACCAGTCATAAACATACAATAACTGTGTTTTATTTAGAAAACAAAACACTAACCCATTTATAAGGTTATGATCTGTGAAATCTGATCCTTCTGTATCCAGAAAATTCTTCGCATGGTTTTTGACAAAGTGCATTTACAAATTAACGATGCTATCCTACGTCTGTCCACCAACTCTATCTGTAACGTTTCACAGGTTAAAATTGTTAAATAATCCGTTGTTGTACGCTTTAATCGTCTGTATGTTCCAGTTTGACACAAAATTATTCACATTACAATAACTTCCGTTGAAAACGGATGTTTACTTTTTTACTTTTTTACTATTCAACTAAAAGATATTTTATACGCGAAAAGAACTCTAGGGTGCAAAGAACTGAATTTTATGAGAGTCATAGTTACTTTGATGATGCCCTAAGCCCTTACGTCGAAAATAAGAATGAATCGAGAGAAAAATGGCGGCCATTTTATTTCATTTTATTTAGAAAATAGACCACGTGACCAGATTTTATACTGTTACAAATACTGTTACCTATGTAACAGTACACAATT